GTGGAAAACAGGGATGTGGAATGGAGAATGACTGTTACTGGCCATATAGGGCCACGAAAATGCTCTAAAGTTGTTTGATGATGGTACACAGCTCTGTAAACATACTTAAAACATTGACTTGTATCTTCAAATGGTTGAAACACAGCATTTGAAGTATAAAATGTCAAAACATCAGCAGAGCACCAGTAGTTCATACCTGTTAATTCTCACTTCTCAGAAGGCTGAGATCTGAGGATCATGTTTCCAAGCTAGTCCAGGCAGGAAAAACCGTGAGACTTGTCCCTCCACATATTCACCAAAAATCCAGAAGTGAAGGTGTGGTTCAATGGTAGAGCTCTAGTATTGAGAAAATAATGCTAGGAGAGAGAGCCTAAGTCCTAGATTCAAGCCCTAGGACTGGCATACACACACACACACACACACACATACACGCACACTGGTCAAAACTTCATCAATAAATTATTTCAATCACAAAATAACTAAATGCTCAAAAGAAAGTGGTAGCAAAACAAATTATGTTCTATCATATAAACAAATATAAATACCTACCATAAATCATGTTTTGTTTTATTTTTTGTTTTTTGTCAGTCGTGGGACTTGAACTCTGGTCCTGAGTGCTGTCCCTGAGCTCTTCAGTTCAAGGCTAGCACTCTAACACTTGAGCCACAGCGTCACTTCCGTTTTCTTGTCATTAATTGGAAATCAGAGTTTCATGGACTTTCCTGCCTGGGCTGGCTTTGAATCGTGATCCTCAGAGCTCAGCCTCCTAAGTAGCTAGGATTACAGGCGTGAGCCACCAACACCCGGCCACAAATCAAGTTTTGATTAGTAATTAAGACACAGAAATCTTATGCTGTAATATACATATATTTCTTTTTAGACAAGTTCTTGCTATTTAGCTAAGACTGTTATGATCCTCCTGCCTCCATCTTCTAAGTGCTGACATTATAGGTATGAACTACCGTACGTACCTGACTGCTTATACTGTAATCTTAAGAGAAAAGCAGGAAGATAAAATCTACACTTAGACTTGCATGCACAATACAAACAAAAAATGTTATAAAAGGAAACCTGAAGTCAGTGGAAATGTTTCTTTCCTTCTCTTTTTCTATCATTCCTATATTTTATACACTGCATTCTTATTAGTTATCAAAAAAATTTTAAAATCTGTTTTCAAAACTTATTGAGATTTATACTCTAAGATCTGGTTTGAGAAGGGTAGGACACAAAGTCAAATGTCAATAGCCACATAACACACACATGCATACACACACACACACACACACACACACACACACACACACACACACACACATACACACACACTCAAAAGACTGTTCAAAAATCAAATAAAGGTTCAGCATGGTGGAATATCCCCGAATCCCAGCTACAGGGCAGATAGATATACAAGGGTTGCAGTTTGAAGCCAACCTGGATTAAAAAAAATGTTAGTAAGACACTATCTCAAAAGCAAACCAAGTGTGGTGATTCTTCGCTATAACCCCAGCTATGTGGGGAGCACAGGCAGGAGGAAGGTCCAAGGCCAATATGAACCAAAGATCCTATCCACCCAAAATAACTAAAACAAAAATGGAGATGTGGCTCAAATAGTAGAGTGCTTGACTGTGAGGTCCTGAATACAAAACCTCAGTACCACTGAAAAAAAAAAAAAAAACTGAGGAATTTATTTCACAACTTGGTTTCTGTTCTATAACTTGTAGAGGATTGGAGCTTCTCTCCATACCCCTAGAGCAGTCATCAGCCTGGCCCAACTCACCCAGGGTGAATGAACTACAGTGAGGATAGTCTTTGGCCTCAGAAACAGAGGAGCCTGATTAAAATCATGCTGGCCCCAGCATGACCATCTTTGGCTTTCTCTGGCAAGTGCTGGCTTCAGAAGTTTTTGAAGTGGGACCCTCTGGTTTCTGGGGATCACACCCCAGGGAGCTCTCCCAGTAATAGCTCCTAGTGTTTTTCTGAGCAGCAGTCCATAATCACCTCATTTCCCTGCTCCTTGTGTTGTCCAAAGGACTCTCCAGCCTTTGGCATCCTGAGAGGGAGCACAGATGGAAAGCTGGAAAGATGCAGGCTGAACTGCTGATCACAATGGTAAGCTTCTGATTTTGTTCACCACAATCCCAAGGGCTCTGAAGATAACAGAGTCGGGTGAGAAACAAAAAGCCCAATACTCTTCCACAGAAATAAAGGTCAGCACAATTTGGCAGACCTCCCTGTTCTGAATGATTCCCAGACCGTGACAAATTTGGAAAGTCATTAGTATTGAAATCCAGACATGTGGGCCTGGCTATAAAAGCCTGACCTCTCCTTTTGTCCATGATCTGTCAAAGTAAAGAAGATAGAGTTCATTGTGTTAGTCATCTGTCACCGCGACAAAATACTCGAATCAACTTATAAAGAGGGAAGGTTGATGTTGGCTCACCATTTTAGAGGTAAGGTTGATTGGCCCACTGATTTTAGCCTGTGGTGAACCATCATGGCCAGAGGATTGAGGAAGCTGCTCACCCCATGACCAATGACATGCAAAGACAGAGAGGAGAAGAAGCCAGTTTCCCACAATCCTCTTCAAAGTCATGTCCCCAGTGACCTAACTCCCTCCATTCAAGTACCAATTTATCATGTACCTATTTATCATGTACTAATTCCAAATACTGCCACAGGCTGGAGATTAAACTTTTAGAAGACAAGCTTGGGGGACACTTACCAAACCATAGCAGGAGTACAGTGTTCATTTCTTACCATTACTGTCAATGAAATACCCATAGCTCCAGTAGTGACCTACTCTTATGTTGTAGCCTAAGTACATGTAAAGAAGATAATCCAGATCTAAACCCCAGCATTGCTCACACTGGCCAGGTGAAGCTTCACAAGTTACTAATCTTTCTGTCATTATCCTCTCATCTGTAAAATGAAGGAAGTATAATATACTTCTTCAATTATCATGAGGTTTGGAATAGTCCCTGACTATGACTAATGTTCAACAAATGTTAGCTATTACATGCCAAGGATGATGGGGATAAAGATTTTTAAGTGAAGCCAGGCACTAGTAGCTCACAAAGGTAATCCTAGCTACTCAGGGGGCTGAGATCTGAGGCTTGCAATTCGATGCCAGCACAGGCAGGAAGTCTGTGAGACTCATCTCCAATAAACTATGCAGAAAAAAAAAGCAGCAATGGTGATGTGGCTCAAGTGCTAGAATGCTTGTCTTGAGCAAAAGAACCTCAGGGACAGCGCACAGGCCCAGAGTTCAAGCCCCAAGACCAGCCCAAAAAAAAAAAATTAAGCCAAACCAACACCTTGGGGACCTCCACTAGTGTGTCACACAGCTGTCTATTGTATGACAAATGCTCAAAATCAGTAACTCAAAGGGAGAAAAGGTTTAGTTTGTGTCATGTTTTCAGTGGGTTCAATCCATGGTCAACTGGCAAATTGTTCTTGGGTCTGTGCCAGTGAGGGAAACCTGTAGTGAATCAAAGATAGTAGTCAGGGAGCAAAGTGCGGGGGGTGGGGGGGCAGGAAAGGACTTCTCCCTAATGAAGTACTTCCTCCAACTAAGTCCCACCTCCTAAAGTTTCTCTTAAAGTCTCTCATCTCCAAAAGATTTCCTTCCCTTCCAACCAAATTATCAGCTGAGGACAAAGACTTCATCATATAAGCTTGGAGGGACATTGAAGACCTACACCAGGACTATGAAGAAATTCCTTCATACTTTAGACACTCTCAAGAAGCAAGTTGGACCAGCACTCAAATCAGCTGAGGAATAAAAGACTCCTGTGTCACATAAGTAGAAATCCATTCCAGCTACACATTCTTTTTCTTCTCTAAGCTGTTGAGAGTGGAAGTTCTTTCTCAAAAGCAACTTTATCAGGTTTGTTATGCTCTCCAGCATAACAAAACTCAATTATGCAGAAAGGCCACATAATTCATCATAACTGACATATACTAGGACAACTATTTATACTTAGATTAGTGTAGGATACTGTATATTCCAAAGAGAGCCAGGACAATCTCATTACATATATATATATATATATAATTTTTTTGATTGGTCATGGGGCTTGAACTCTGGGTTTGGGTGCTGTCCCTGAGCTCTTCAACTCAAGGTGAGCACTCTACCACTTGAGCCACAGCAGCACTTCCAGTTTTCTGGTAGTTAATTGGAGATAAAAGTTTCATGGATTTTCCTTCCCGGGCTGGCTTTGAACCATGGTCCTCAGATCTCAGCCTCCTAAGTAGCTAGGATTACAGGTGTGAGCCACCAGTGTCCGGCTCTTATTATATTTTTGATACTCCTTAGCAGTCAGCTTTGCATCTCATTGAGTGTGAGAGGGCTTGGACAAGATGTAATGGGACTCTCAAGGCTGTCATAGTCTCTGATTTTCTTTGCAATGCTTATGCATGGAACCCATCCACCATGCTGTGAGGAAGTCCAAGCAGCCACAGAGAGAGGCAACATTCAGGTGCTCCATCTGGCAGCCACAATGGGTGTCCCAGCCAACAATTCCCTCAAAAGTGGGACATACAACTACCTAGCCTTCAGAAGATTCTAGCCCTAGGACTGGACACACCATCCCATGTGTCCCAACAACCCAAGACTTACAGACTTGCAAAATCTCATTTCTATAGTTATCAACTCTTGCCACAGATTCTTCTATATCTTTACAATCTTACAAAAAACCATAAATATAACAAAAATAGATAAATCTGATGCTACATTTATGGAGATAAAGAGAAGGAGGCACATAGCTGTTGTCTTATGCTTTCCCCTATCCAGTTTCCTGGGTCTCTGAGGAACCCAGTTTGAGACACTGTGTATGCTTTAGAACTACTGAAGCCTCGGCAAACTCACATAGTCATTTCACTTGTGACTTTTACCCACAGGTATAAAAGTAACCGACCACATATGAATATTCTCAATATTCTAAGAATCAGAGGTTTCTTCTCAGCACATTTATTTAACAAGCGTACAACTACAGAAATTCTTCATATGTCAACCATAGATACCCTCTTCCCCTCCTGCACGAAGCCTTTAAAAGCGTTTGCATAGCACCTATTTTTACACAACAGCTTTTCAAAAAAATCTCTAGACGAGTATGGTGGGAAACAATGTGTATTTGAAATGCTGTGTTCATGACACAGGCCTTCTCCAGCTTTGGGCAGATGAAGGTGTAGGCCTGCTCCTCTGGTCCAGGTAGTCACTAGGATCTTGGTAAAGAAGAGGATGGGTTCCAGGCCAGCTGGCGTTGCACTAGCTGCTGCTGGTGTTTTTCTTCAAGTAGTGTGTGTAGTGCGTCAGAAGCATCCTCTGGAAGGTGCCACTATAGAAGGCCCAGGATGGAATCAGGTTCAGGAGGCCCGCCTTCAGCAGACAAAAGCACAAGTGTGGATGAGAAAAGCCTCACAAAGAAACTACAACTGAAACAAATCAGTGTATATTCATTGTTTTTAGGAACTGTCTTTTGTGAAAAATGGATAGAGCTGGAGATAATGTTGAGTGAGAGAAGACAAGTTCAAGAAGCCAAATATCACATTTTCACTCATTTGTGAAATCTAAATCTAAAAGATATATATGATGAAGATAGATAGATAGATAGATAATATATGCATACATACATAGAATGTGATTATAACTTGAGCCTGTGGACAAGGAAGAGGGAAAGAGAATGATGACAAATGATTAAGGCAGAAATACAATGTGCGACGTGTGAATATTGCATAAAGAAACACAGAAAGCTGGTGAATAATAGGGAAAGAGAGAGCAATAAAGGGGGGATGTACGCGTGCATTGCATGGTGCACATGTACTGGTCCTAGGGCTTGAACTTAGGGCCTAGGTGTGCCCTGAGCTTTTTACTTAAGCCTAAAGCCATAGCTCCATTTCCAGCTTTGTGGTGGTTAATTGGAGATAAGGGTCTTAGAGACTTTCTTGCCTCTGCTGGCTTTCAACTGCAATCCTCAGATCTTAGTCTCCTGTCTACCAAGGATTACAGGTATAAGCTAGAGGGATCATTTTATCTGATTAAAACATTATATGTGTAGGTATGAAATACTGTAGTCAAAACTTTGTGCAATTAATATACACTAAAAAATGAATGACAGGAAAGTAAAACAGAATCTGTTTTTGAGGCAGTTACCAGTGGGAAGGTACCAATGCAGAGGGTGAATGAGGATAAATGTGATGAAGCAGGAGACAATTTCTTTCTCCTAGCCTGTTCTTGGTATCTATTTACTTGAAGAGGTCAGAATTTGTTATTAAAAAATCAAAAGAGAAGAAAAATGTCAGCCAGGCATTGGTGGCTCACGCCTGTAATCCTAACTACTCAGGAGGCTGAGATCTGAGGATCACAGTTCAAAGCCAGCCTGGGCAGGAAAGTCCATGAGACTCTTATCTCCAATTAACCACCAGAAAACCGGAAGTGGCACTGTGGCTCAAGTGGTAGAGAGCTCATGTTGAGCTGAAAAGCTCAGCGACAGTGCCTAGGCCCAGAGTCCAAGTCCCATGACTGACAGGGAAAAAAAAAATCAAGAAAGTGCTCAACTTTGGACATATGAAGTTGGATCATGCAGCAAATAATGCAGGAACAGTCTTCCAAGCTACTTCTGTCTCAAGAACACATTTTAGAGATGTGACACATTCCATTTAAAATGTCAGCATCATAGAAGACCACAGTAACAGAACTGTTGGGAAGGTAAAGGGGATGTTACACCTACTGGATAGCTAATCCTGGAGATGGACAGGCTATGACACCAGGTCCATATAAGGAAATCTATGTGTTTTTTGCCCTGGAGATGGTGAGGCCCTGAGTTCAGTAGCACCAATACCATTAGTCAAGTTCATAATAAAGCTATTGCTGTATGGGGGGAAAAAAAGGAAGGAAGGAACAAGAAAAGGAGGGAGGGAGGGAGAGAAAGAAGAAGGAAGGGAGGAAGGAAGGGAGTAAAGAAAAACAAGTTTAAATGGTTCAAGCTGCTTGAGGCTCTGAGTTCAACCCCAATATCCTCCCTCACACACAAAAAACTTCATATATCATATGTTCTTGACCTTATTTCCATATTTAATAGAGTTTAAGAAGTGCTAGATCTATCTGGTTGGTGCTTGCTCACAAAAACTGGCTATAAGCTCCTCTCCAATTTATAGGCAGTGACATCATCTTGGTGGCTAAAATTAAGCTTTCGTGGGTATGTTTGCACCAAGAAACAACTCAAAGTGGTCTTGTTCTTTTTTTCCTATGTGCTATGGTTGAGAGTGGACTGTCTACCCCAAAGCCTCATGGGCTGGAGACTTGGTTCTGGGGTGATTAGATCATGAGGATTAATGAATTCATTGCTGAATGGGCTGCTAGGAGACTGGGTCTAGTTAGAGGAAATGGGTCATGAGGTACATCTTGGAAGGGGTATGTCTTTCCCCAGACCCATCCTCATTCTTGGCTTTCTGGCTACCAGGAGCTAAGCAGCTGTACTCCAAAATATATGTTCCCTGCCATGATGCTCTGCCTCACCTTTGGCCCCAAAACAATGAAGCCAACCCACTATGGACTGAAACCTTTGAAAGATTAAGACAAAATAAATCTTTCTTCCATTAAATTGTTTATCTCAGGTATTTTGTTGCAGCAATAGAAAAACTGACTCACATACCCTGGATGGCCAATACTTAAATGTTTACTAGAAGGAACAGCCAAGCAAGACAGCACCCAGATGTATTGGTCTTTCCTACCCAAGAGATTCTGGGAACCACTTTCTGTTCTAAGGGAGAAGTGAGGCCATCAGGAAGTTTTAGGGTTATCTCCAGGCTGGTACACAGGCCTAATGCTTCCCCTCTAAATTCACTGGGTCTTCCACTCGCAAGAAGAGCCATGCCCTTCAGGGGCTGTCTGCCCATCTCGCAGTCATTCTTTAAGAAAAGAAGAAGTTACTGATTACCAAAATCTCATGCACAAGGCAGCCACAGATTTCATCTCCAATCGTGACATAATTCAGTGATTCTTTAACGAAGTCATCAGCACTCTTGGTTATCATGTTGGTATTGAGATACTTTGTCATTGGGGTTGAAACAGCATATGGAGTCAGCACCTATAATTCAAAATAAAGACTAAAAAGCTGGGCATTGGTGGCTTGCACCGGCTTCTATCTAAGGATATCAATTTGAACCCAGCCTTGTTTTTTAAAAAAAGTTTGTGAGACTCATATCTCCAATTAACTAACAAAATGCCAGAAGTACAGATGTGGCTCAAGTGGTATTGTGCCAGACTTGAGAGAAAAAGCCAACAGATCACGAGGCCCTGATTTCAAGTCCCATTACTGGCACAAAGAAGGGAAAAAATAAATTAAATAAAGACTCCATCCCAAGAAGGCTGAGAATTAACATTTGTTTTCCCAACCATCATCTTCAAACTTCTTGCTTTCTGTAAAAAGCTTTGAGAGCCCAGTTGATACAAGGCACTGAACTGATTTGCTTTCTCAAGACAAGGCCTGAACCATATACCAGGTTGCTCAAATATTCTTCCAAGCACTCCAAAGGACTGAGAGAGTTGGTAAATAAAAATACAAAATGCCAGTTACAATCCAAGTTCAGACAAAAAATTATGCCATAATTATGTCTCAAGTATAACACAGAATGGACTTGTGCTAAAAATATTATCCAGCTGGGTAATAGTGGCACATGCCTGTAATCTTATCACTCAGAAGCAGATACAGGAGGATCATGAGTTCTAGGCTAACCTGCACTACATGACACAACTCTATCTCAAAGACAGAAATTATTTGTATTAATCTAAAAATATAACTTGGCTGGTGCCAGTGGCTCATACCTATAATCCTAGCTACTCAGGAGGATGAGATCTGAGGATCACAGTTCAAAGCTATCTCAGGCAGGAAAGTCTGCGAGTCTCTTATCTCCAATAAACTACTCAGAAAAAAATGGAAGTGGTGCTGTGGCTCAAGTGGTAGAGTGCTAGCCTTGAGCCAAAGAAGCTCAGCAACAGCTCTCAGGTCCAGGGTTCAAGCCCAGGCCTGGCAAATAAAGAAACAAATATATACACACTCATATATGATTAATCTGGCAATCCCATAACTTTGTTTCTAAACCTCATAAACAAAGAATAACTTAAAGCACTCTGGCCTTTCACGTTCATACCCTGTCTGGTGCACATATATCACTTTTCCTGCTCTGAGAAGAAAAATAAACAACTACACACTGTGTTCTGCCAACACTGGCACTGGAATGTGGCTCAAGTGATAGCAGCCTTGCCTAGAGAACATGAGTCCTTCAACTCCCCAGGACCATAGAGAGAAAGAGAGAGAAAGTAACAAAACTGGGAGGTGTAGCTCAGAGGAAGAGCAACTTCCTGGTACGCAAAATTCCTCACAAATAAAATAAAATTTAAATCTAAAATGATATAAACCATAATAACAACAAAATAAAGTAAAACATGATTGGGGGCTACAGGTATAGTTCAAGTGCTATAGAACACCAGCCATGAACAAGAAAGCTAAGTGACTAAGCAAGCAAGCTAAGCAAGTATGAGACCCTGACTTCAAATCCCAGTACTGCCCTTGCCCAAAGAAACAAAAAGAGCAAAACAAAACAAACAACAAAAATAAACCACGTTGCTCCTATTTGTGGCTAACCATACACAATGGTTGAGCCCAAGGACTCTAATGTTCTTTCATTCTGCTTTAACTTGGGTGGCGCTGGGGTCTGAGCTCAGTCCTTTGCTCTTGGCAGGTACTCTACCACTTGAGCCATGCACTGAGCCCCCCTAATGGGATTTTATTAATTTATTCTCAGATACAGAGACTTTAGTATCTTTAGGAAGAAAATTATCTGTGCTAGTTTTCTTACTTTCATTTTTCTCCACATCATATTGGAAATACCACTGTTTTACAGTGAAATCCAATTTTGACTTATGACTCATAAGTCAGTCAATTGATGGAATTGGACTGGTCATTATGGAAACTAATACTATGATTGATTTGCCTAATACTTTCTCCTCCTTGCCCCAAAGCATCTTCAAGTGTTACTCTTGGACAGAATTCTCAACTCAGTTTCAAAGAAGGAAATATAGGACATATTTAGATACCTATCTATGAATTTTAACAAAACATGTTTCTGTATAAAATAAGAGCTCAATAAATATGGTTTAAACTTGTATATTTAGTCATGATGATCTTCATGATCATATGTTCTTCATGATCATCCTAAGATGAAGGGAGGCATAATGAACTCACTTTATGGATGGGGAAACTGAGGCTCAGGGAGTTTAAGCAAGTTGTCATCCAAATCACTAAGGTGGCAAGTGATGGAACTGAGATGAAATTCAAATCCAAGCCTGTGACCTACACATCCTTATTCATCTTTCAGATATTTGTTGATCACTATGCACATGTTTAGAGGAGATAATTAGGTTTTGAAAGGTCAAGGCCATTCTAATTTTCATAGTTATTTGAACCATTCCAAGACCTCTGTACCAGGAAAGGACCCTTTATTCTCTTTCATCCCCACCTCCATCCTGTGGCCTCCTAGTATCCACTGCCTAGGCAGCCACCGTATTTCTTGCCCACCATGATGAAGATGAAGATGGACCAGGGTATCACATAGTCAGGATGTGGTGACTAAGGTAGCCATTCATATTTAAAAATCACCAAGTCATTCTGGTTCTTTCTTTTTCCAGCACATAATAGGATTGCATTTCTCCAAAACCTCTGTGAGGAGTGGGACCATGTGACTAGATCTAGCCAATGAGTTATGAGCAGAACCATGTGTCATTCTTGGCCAGAAATTCATTGGCAAAGTATAATCCTGTCAAACTCCAGCTATTTCTTAAAATCAAATATCTCCACTGACAGTGTTCAAGATGAGGTCTCTAATCACTATAATGAGGTCTTTTTTTCTTTTTTCGTTTTTGTCAGAGACAGGGGCTCCAACTGGGTACCTGATGCTCTCAAACTCAGTACCTGATTTCCTAGCACTCTACTAATGCCTCCAACCCAAGCTCATGTCTTTTGTCAGTTCATCATAAGCATGCAAAATTATATTTTGCTTTTTTTACGCTCCAGAGATTGTTTGTTTTTTGTTCCTTTGCTTTAAAAAAAAACTGTGGCAATCTTAGCATGAGCTGAGTAGCAGTTACAAAAGGGAAGTCCCAATTTCTTCTGGGAGCTGGAGAATAGACAGCCCTCATGGAAGGAGAAAAAGATCTCTGATGGTGAGATGTGTTCAATAGGGTATTAAAAGGGACTGTGGTGAGACAGCTGAGGCAGGAAATAGTGACTCACTGCCAGATGTTGGTGGCTCATACCTGTAATCCTTCCTACTCAGGAGGCTGAAATCTGAGGACCCCCAGATGGAAGCCAGTGTGGGAAAAAACCCTTAAGACTGTATCCTCCAAGTAGCTAGCAAAATGCCAGATTGGAAGTGTGGCTTGAATGATTCAGCATACCAGACATGAATGAAAAAGCCAGACAAGAGTAGAAGGCCAAGCCGGGCGCCAGGTGCTCATGCCTGGTGCAATCCTAGCTACTCAGGAGGCTGAGATCTGAGGATTGTGATTCAAAACCAGCCTGGGCAGGAAAGTCCATGAGACTCCAATCGTCAATAAACCACTCAGCAAATTGGAAGAGGAGCAGTGGCTCAAGTGGTAGAGCACTAGCCTTGAGCTGAAGAGCTGAGGGACAGTGCCCAGGCCCAGAGTTCAAGCCCCATGACTGACAAAAAAAAAAAAAAAAGAGTAGGGGCTGGGAAGGTGGCTCAGCTCAGTGGTAGAGCGCTTGCCTTGCATGCATGAGGCCCTGGGTTCAATTCCTCAGCACCACATAAACAGAAAAAAAAAAGCCGTAAGTGTTGTTGTGGCTCAAGTGGTAGAGCACTAGCCTTGAGCTGAAGAGCTGAGGGACAGTGCCCAGGCCCAGAGTTCAGGCCCCAGGACTGGACCAAAAAAAAAGAAAGCCATCAGACCCGGAGTTCAAACTCTGCTACCAATACCAGAAGAAGGAGGAGAAGGAAGAGAAGAAGGAGAAAAATATAGAGGAGAAAGAAGTTACTCACTAAAACAATGTTTTGGGCCAAATTCCTAACATCAGGTCACATCTTCCTATTTAATGAGCTTTAACCTGTAGCTGATTAGTTTGTAGTAACAGTCATCTAAGATATTCTCACCTGGCTTTTTTTTCATGCTGGTACTGGGGCTTGAACTCAGGCCCTGAGTGCTGTTCCTGAGCTTTTTCATGCATGGCTAGTGCTCTACCACTTGAGCCACAGCCTCCACTTCCAGCTTCTTAATAGTTAACTGGAGATAAAGGTCTCACAGACATTCCTGCCTATGCTGGCTTTGAACCTTGATCCTCAGATCTCAGCCTCTTGAGTAGCTAGAATTAAAGGCATGAACCAGCTCAGCTTCACCTGACATTTTAATTGAAAAGCAATAATGTTTAAGATAAAATTTTGGTGTACTGTCACTTCTAATGTCATAAAACTTCTTTCTAGCCCAAAACAAAATAAAACCACTTCTGTGGGTTTCAGAAATCATTGAAATTTCTGGGCACTGGTGGTTCATGCCTGTAATCCTAACTACTCAAGAGGATTGCAATTCAAAGCCAACCCTGGGCAGGAAGGTCTGTGAGACTCTTATCTCCAATTAACCACCAGAAAACCAGAAGTGGCTCAAGTGGTAGAGTGCTTGCCTTGAGCTGAAGAGCTGAGGGACAGTGTCTAGGCCCAGAGTTCAAGCCCTACAACCGACACACACAAAAAAAGAAAGAAATCACTGAAATCTATTGGTGAACCAAAAGTTTGTAAACCACTGACACTGCAGGCTGTGACACTAGTCAGCCCACAAAAGGCAATTGACTCCATGATGGTTCTTCCCCTTTCCCATCAAACCAAATACTGGACTGAGGGGGGGGGGGTCTACATTAGCCCACAACAGACCAACAGTCCCCTAAGGAAAGCTCTTCCCCTACTTTCCCTTAGTTCCAATATGACACGTTTTCTTTATTTCCTCTCCACAGTTCCTACCATATATGCCCATCTCTTGTACCTAGGTCAGAAAGGAAAAGACAGTTAGACAAGTCCCAAACTTCTGCTGCATTCTATTTGGTCCAAAGCATTTTTTTTTATCAGCCATATCCTTGCCCAACTCTAGTCCCCAGGGTACAGAGAAACTAGAGCAGTAGAAGTGGTACAGATATAGGAAGCCACAGAGTTCTTCCAGCCTACCTCTCCTCCAGCTGTACATGCATGGCCAATCCTGCAGGGGGCAGTGGTTCCCTGTTCCTAGAGGTCCAGAGTTCCCATCCCCAAGGAATCCTAATTGTCCACCTCACCTGGATAATGATTCCCTTTTCTTTATATTCCACCTGCAGAGCCTTGGAAAATGTGCACACAAAAGCCTGCAATGAGAAGCAGACACATCTAAAGTACTAGACTATGCAATCTCCCTTCATTCAAGGGCACTGAGGAGGTGCTGCTACTAGCTGCTTGGAGATGTACTCAAAGAAAACAAAGTTTCAGTTATGTGGGATGAAAATGTTCTGGAGATTTATTGTGCATGCCTTAGTGATTATAGTTATTGATAATATATTGCATACTTTAGAGTTAAGAGAGTAGATCTTAATGTTCTCACCATACCAAAAATAATTTATAAGTCTAAGGATATGATAACTACCTTGATTTAAGCATTCCACAATATATACTATATCAAAATATCATGCTATAAATTGTAAATTATTTCCCATTTTATTTGTTAATCATACCTTAAAACTGAGGACAAACAAAGAGGCAGTAGGGGGTGGAGGGAAATGTAGGTGACATCACTCACCTTGGAAGCTGAGTAGAGAGAGTAGAGAGGCCAAGGGCAAAGGCCTACCCCTGAAGAAATGTTCAAGATGAGACCTTTCTGCCTAAAAAGCAAAGAAGCAAAGTTCCCATTGCTTCATGCTTCACTGCTTGATCCCACCTTGAGTTGAAAGAGACTGAAGGTCGGTATGAATGCTGTCAAATGCCATCCTCTCCAGAATCTATGGCCGCTAACTGTTCTGCTTCCAATAACTGTTAATATAATTTCACTTAAGTTCAGGAGGATACTAGGCAGGGATGTCACTCAACAATTACATGACATTAAGGCTTTGTTACTGGAAACAGAGTCTCTACTATGAAAAAAAATCTCCCTGCCCAAATACAGGGGGCCACATCACTTAGGATTCAAAGATGAAGGGATGCACCCATCTTAAGGGTGACCACATGAGATCCAGGCCCCTTTGGACTCACAAAGATGACCCACAGCAGGAAAGATGTCATGGTGGAATACCATCCTGGGTAAATTTGACAGCCTACCATTTGCTAACTTAGATACCCTTCACAAGTCTCTAAAGGCATTAATTAGCAGCCTTTTTAAAATTCAGTAACTTTAATTCTTCCTAGTTAGTTGCATGAGGGGTTGTGGTAAGGAACTTCAATTAGAACACAACACCAAGTCCCTTCTTACTCCAGGGAACATGAAACTATCAAGCATTTTTTTCTAATATATACCACCTGGGAAAAACCAGTTCCTAAATGAGTGTCATAATAGGGTGATACAAGCATGGAATAATGAGGAAAGTGATAAAGATTGTTTTCAACCAGTAAATTGGAGTATTCATTCTGAAAACAAAAGCTGAAATTTATAATCACAAAGCCATGGGCTTGGACTCAGACCAATTTGCTTCTTTTATGCTCAACATGAGTTTTTTTTTTTTTAATCCAATGTATACTTAAATAACAGATCTCTTCCTCTCTCTATGTTGTGTTATACTTGACCTTCAAATATGCATGCATGTTTGAGGGGCTGGCCTGGCTCAGATGTTAGTTTGTTCCATTCCACCCCACCCCCAATCTCCAAGTCCTTTCATAATAGCTTATATCACTGGTGAAAGCAAGACCTTACCTTGATTCCATGTGTTTCAGAACTATCTGTGTCATCTATGAGAGAAGGGAAACATTAAATCCTGAGTAAGAAACTAAGTAGCAATGAGCAAGGACCTCGGGGGAAGTGGTGACTAGAGAAGCTTAATCTTCTCAGGTGACCTTGAGAATTGCTGGCACCCATTAGCAGTCATTCTGAAAACATGAGAATCTGATAGGATCTCCACAGGAAATAACCTAGACAAATGGCGTACTATTGGGAGGTCTCTGGTTGTTTCCCATAAACATCCTCTTGTGAAATGAGGTTACTTTGAAAATATGGGAATTGATGGATTGATAGCTACAGCATCAATAAATAGCAAGGTACTCTATTCTGGGTGACAGCAAAAGCAGGCCTGCCACCACACACCTCACTCATGAGCTGGAACTGGGGTCAGCAGACCTAATCAGAGTCTATGAGAATTTTGTACACATCTCTCCATTCAGCAGTGTCAGTATGTACAACCTGGTAGTGTGTGACATAGTTCATGGACACAGCATCCATTAGGATTACATGGTAGAGAATCACTTTCTCCATCCCAAGCTACCACCCCTCCCTATAGAAGTTCACCCAGCCAGTTTTGCAGGCCCAAACCTATACTCAAAGGGGTTTTTTGGTTGGGTTTTTTGTTTTTGGTTTGTTTTTTGTCTGTCATGGGGCCTGAACTCTGGGCCTGGGCACTGTCCCTCAGCTCTTCAGCTCAAGGCTAGCGCTCTACCACTTGAGCCATAGCAGCACTTCCGGCTTTTTCTGCTTATGTGGTGCTGAGGAATCAAACCCAGGGCCTCATGTATGCAAGGCAAGCACTCTACCATTGAACCACCTTCCCAGCCTCAAAGAGTTTTTAATTGATTACTAAGGTCACATTTTAAGAATTAAACAATGCATGGACTAAGATGTTCTATAAAGTATAACTGACCAGAGTCAAAGTTGTCCTGGAATCAGGTTTGAGATGGAGAAGATCCAAATCGAGAAGAGGAGCAGAGGAAGCAGAGAGACCAGGACACAGCTCTGTCCACGTCTCCACATTGTCTAGGGTAGTGCAGCAGCTTTTCTATAGAGCCTATTACTGTTCTCAGCAGATCGGCCATGCCCTGGCACCTGTGTCAGGGAGCCTCCAGACAATGTTTCCATTGCTAGGGGTTAGAGGAAGAGGAGTAGCAGAACTCTCTAGAAACTGCCTCTGAAACATCAGCTTTTGAGAGAGGTGAGAGAAGGATGAGATTCACTTCTCACACTTCCCTGGCTCCACCCTTATTAGGAATCTCCTCCAGGTCCTGTGGTCTGTCCTCTGCCATTGGTCCTCAAAGCCTCCCATGCAAACTCACTAGCCCTCTATGATGAATGATCCCAAGTAGAGAGTCAACACTGGATATGGGTGGGCCCTTGTTCAAATTTCTCTACATTTTAATTCCTATCCCACCTTCTCCTGGCTCTCATCTTCCATCTCTGCCCTTGACATGAGAGGATGTGACTATTTCCAGATGGCATCTTTGAAGTAATTAAGCTATATTAGTCATGCTTCCAATCAGCAAGACTAATTAGAACACAGCATATTCAGAAATAAACCTTTAATGTCTTTTCTTTGTTACTTAGGGAATTTAGTGTCCATCAATAAATAAAACTTAAAAAATCAAAGCATTTCTCTGCTGAAGGAATTAGAGTGTTGTCAAATCCATTTGGAGAAACCCATCTGATCAAACAGCCTAAGACTGGAAACTCAATGTGTAAAATAATATGAAAGATTTTTAGTGGTAAGGCTGCAGGCAATAGTTGGACACATAAAACTTAGAACTACATTAGCTGGGAGTTTTAAAAAGCCATTGATTACTCAGCATAAAAAGAATGTGTATACTCAATAATAGCTAAGCAGGATACTATAAAACACCAGTATGCTTACAGAAAAACAACCCAAAGTAAAATAGTTGTCAGCCCAATTTAAGTACATGAAAATAATTTGGGGGGAAGCTGATCAGCTCCTCTCTGTGTCTCCCCCACCACTTATGTTGGAAAATCAGTCATCTACTATGTTTAGTCCCTGAGAGACTGAATGTGCCCCTTCTCTACCACTCCTTGGAGTCCTTATTCGCTGCTGTAGTTAAACTGACTTTCCATAGTGACCACCAGCACAGTGGTGAATTTTGTGAATTCAGTATGGTTCCTAGCTATGGAATAAGCACAGGCTGAAAATCCCGAGCTCAGTCTCTAGTGTTGTACCATGGTAGAGCTAGAGGGCCCTACCAATCAGAGGACATGGAAACATTTTGTTCACACAAAGCATCTAGCTGGGTGCTGGAGGCTCAAGCCTGTAATCCTAGCTACTCAGGAGACTGAGATTTGAGGATTGCAGTTTTGGAGCCAGGCCAGGCCAGGTTAATTGAGATTCTTGTCTCCAATTAACCACCAAAAAACTGGACATGGAGTTGTGGCTCAAATGGTAAAGTGTTAGCCTTAAACATAAAAGCTCAAGGACAGTGCACAGGCCCTGAGTTTAAGACCCAGGACTGGCACATGTGCACACACACACACACACACACACACACACACACACTTTAAAAAAAGTCAACTCATGTGGCATCATGCCATGTCCATTTTCTTAAATTACCTATCCAATGCAAATAAGACAAGATAGCTTTGAGGAAGTCATGCTGTCCATGACTAGGTACCTGAACTGAATCAGAGGACCTGAGAACTTAAGATGCCACTACCAAGTCCAACATTCTTTTAATAATGGGTGCAGAATCAACACCCATTAGTTTAGATAAGTTTATCCTGTGTTGTCCAACTAATTAGTAACTGTGTTGAGATCAGAATTCAGCAATCTCTACTGATCTGTGGCCTCACCACATGCCTAAAACCAAAGACAATCCTAACCACTAAATATACTGGTTGTATTTCTTATATGTACATGCCTATGGTCAAAGTCTAATTTATCAATTAGGTATAGTAAGAGATTAATCATGAACAATAAAGCAATTATAGTAATGTGCTGTAATAAAGTTGATTTGAACATGTTCTCTTTTTGTCTCTGTCTCAGAATATAGAATTCCTTTTTTAAGTTTTCCAGACTTTGGGGCTGGGAAGGTGGCTCAGTGGTAGAGTGCTTGCCTTGCATGCATGAGGCCCTGGGTTCAATTCCTCAGCCACACAAGCAGAAAAAGCGGAAGTGGTGCTGTGGCTCAAGTAGTAGAGCACTAGCCTTGAGCTGAAAAGCTGAGGGACAGTGCCCAGACCCAGAGTCCAGGACCCACAACCAACAAAAAAAAAAATCCAGACGATGGTGGGCCACAGGACTAAAGGAGTAGAAAGAAATAGCACAAATAAAGAGGGAGGAATAAATAAATAACCTTTAACTTCAGCTCAACAAATATTTATTGAAGAGTAAAAGTCCAGAAAGCCCAAGTCATGCCCTCTTGTCATTTTTTCCCTCCCCAGGGAAGTTTCTTCTCTTTACAAAGAGAATTAAAATAAAAGAAAGGTATTAATTAAAAAAATATCCTAGGGATCCCAAATAATTTCAGCATCAGGCCTATTGTGTTCTGACATGTAACAAAACTGAATGTGAAAACTGAATGTGAAACAGGATTTATGTAAAAGCGAGAATGAACACATCCCTGTCTTGGGGAAAACAGAAGCAATATGGCCAGGACATTTCAGTCAGGAATAGTTCAGTGTATATGAAAGAATTCTCTTTCTCCAGCAGAAAAGACTGATGCTTCCCAGAAATTACTACATTTCATGCATTTCACATATATTGAGCACATACCTTGACTACTGAAGTGATGTTACAATGGATGAGATTCTGCAATAAATAACACATGAATCAGCTCAGTCCTCGAGAAATTGTCTTGGGAAGAGGTCAGGGTTGAACCATGAAATGAGAGAAGTTCCATCATTTACCCAGCATGCAAATTAGATTCCCAACTGATGTTCAGCAAGCTTGGGCTAAAACTGGGAAAGATCTGATATTCATTGAATGATCCTATGTGTATGCCATCTTGAATATAAGCCATTTAAGTTTTTTTTTGAAGATTTAGGAAGGAATACAGTCATAATTTTTAAAGGAAGATATAGATGTCCCCAAAGTATGATGATTCAACTTTACAATAGTACAAAAACAATGTGTATACAGTAGAAGTCATACTTCAAGTTCTGAAATTTGAGTCTTTTTCAGTTAGTGACAGGCTGTATAATAGTCTTTTGCAATGCTGGATAGTAAAAACATCTCAGTCAGTCATATCATCCTAAGCGAAACCACCAGTTCTCTATAGTATGCTACAGTGTTCTGGAGCTCATGTGTAGTACACCCATTTCTTTTCCACTTAAGATGAACTTATTGGTAGGAGCCCATCATGTCAAGGAGCATCTGTATTCACTTTCCAGGAAGAGGAAGAAGGGTTAGCTCATGTGTGTGTAGGAAACCACAGCATAAGGAATAGAAGAGGTGGATGGTTGACTAATACAAGATATAGGTCTTGGTTTAGAAACAAGTATGAAGAAATGACTAGAATCATCCAAATAAAGAGAGAGGAAAAGAGGGTCACCCAGAGATAAACACAAACACAGGAATAAAGAGAAACAATAACATCATTTGCTGAAAGAGAGACACAAACTTGCTTCAGAAGCAGGGTAGAAAATAAAGACCACAGGGATAGACATATATTAAAAGAAGAGTCTGGGGAGGTTGTGCAGTAATGTCCCAGCCATCTGGCAGCAGATTCAGGGTTTAAGTAGAACCATAGGAATATATGCAGCATTGAGGATCACCAGCCTGTTTAGATTGGTATAACCATGACTTCAAAAATCAGGACCCTGGGGAGAGTCCATAAATAGTGTCTTCAAGAACTGTAAAATGAATTAAAATGTAATCTATTCTAGCTTACTAGACCTCCAAAACTTCTAACCACAGAATCTGTGTTGTATGTAATTTCAGCATATTCTGCATTCTCAGACTCAATGAACTGTGGACCAAAAATGTTCACAAAGGAGCTAGAAGCATGGCTGAAGTGGTTACAGCACCAGTCTGAGGAAGCAAGCCTCTTGAATATGAGGTTCTGAGTTCAAACCCCAGTATCATAAAAAAATGTTCAAAAATTGTATATTATACTGATTATACACATAGACTTGTTTTTTATGTCATTTTTCCCTAAACTATATAACAGCTATTTATGAGGTCTTTACATTGTGTTAGGAACTGTAGGTCATCTAGAGAGGGTTTTAATTATCCAGGTGCCATGTATAGGATCTATATAAGTATTATGCCATTTGTATAAGGGATTTGAGCATCTGTGGATTTAGGTATCTAAGGAGGTTAGTACCTCTGGAACACTGAGAGATAGCTGTATATCCCTCACACTGAAAGTTAAATAAAATTTATTACATGGGAGCACAGACAAGCAAAAGGGTTGGCTTGCTTCTGTATTCACTGTAGCTATGAATCTGTTTGGGTAGAATTACCCTCTTATAAAGCAGAATGCATTCAGAGTTTCAAAATAGCAGGACAATGAGAAAATTAATGTTGAAGTGCAGAGAAGGGAAAATATGTCTTTTTCCAAGTGATGATCATGAAAAGATGTACCCTTAATTGTGTATCAAGAACTAAGTTGAACAAGTTTACATTGTTGGTGGGAGTGTAAACTTGTTCAACCACTTTGGAAAGTAGTATGGAGGTTCCTCAAAAGACTCCACATAGAACTCCCCTATGACCCAGCAATCCCACTATTGGGCATTTACCCAAATGTTCACAAACAAGACCACACTAAAGCTACCAGCACGACTATGTTTATTGCAGCCTTATATTACCATAGCTAAGATATGGAACCAACCCAGATGCCCCTCAGTAGATGAATGGATCAAGAAGAAAATGTGGTATATATACACAATGGAATTCTATGCCTCCATCAGAAAGAATGACATTGCCCCATTTGTTAGGAAATGGAAAGACTTGGAAAAAAATGATATTAAGTGAAGTAATCCAGACCCAAAGAAACATAGGCCCCATGGTTTCCCTTATTTGCAATAACTAGTATATGTCTGAGTCAGAAGAAAAGTTCAGATAAGTTGATGGTAGGGAAATGAACCCTAAGATATGTATTTTTTCTTTCATGCAATTGTTTCTAACATATTTATAAGATGATTTCTAAGATGATTTCTATGTTGATTTGTGTGTCCCTCCCCCACGGTATAACCCCTGCTTTCACTGTATTTGATGTTGTTATAATTTGTGGAGGGGAAGGGAAAAAACAAATCGTTTAAATAGGGATACAGGTGGACCCATTGCAACAATGAGATGTACAAGTCATTACGTTGAAAACAAACTTTACAACTTTGGTGGCGGGGTGGGGGGGGGGAGGGCGGAGAGGAGAGCTGGGTGGGGGGGCTGGGGAAGGATGGGATGGGAAGGGGAAACAAAGGAGGAGGCTACAATGCTTGATAAGAAATGTACTCATTATCTTGCCCATGTAATTGTAACCCCTCTGTACAGTATTTTCACAATAAAAAAAAATCTTGAAAAAAAAAAAGAACTAAGGTGAAAACCAAGGGAGTTTTCAAGATATAATCAACACACAATGTAGAAATTTGGCCACATGGACTTCCCATTCCTCGTTCCCCAGTCCTGGAGCCCAGTACCTGAGTGAAAGGAAATCAGACCCAAAAGAGCACAGGCCCACCTGGATTTCATCTGAGGTGCTAAGGAAATGGCTTGGGAGAAGGTTTGGAAGCATCCCGACGTTGTTGACTGACAGAAAGAGACAAAAAAAATTTATCAGAATGGCAGGTTGGAAATTTTCCCAAAGAAGCATACACCAAAAGATTTATAAGCAAAGTTGTTCACTGCAACATGGTTTAATTATAGTGAGGAAATTGGATGGAAAAAAATCATGTCCATTGGGGGTGAGGTTTGTTTTGGCTTTTGTTTTTGTTTCTCTTTTTAGGAGGGAAAAGGGGGAGGCACAGAAAGGGAAGGAGGAAGAGTAATCAAATATAGTCATGGCATTCACCATACATTATGGAAGGAGTGACATTGTCCCAAAAAGGAAATGAATTCATTACCTGATTTATGTAATAGTAACCCCTCTGTACAACATCTTAATAACAATAGAATTATATTTTAAAAACATGTCCCATAATCAGAGGTTCATTACACCAATCATAGAATATTGGTGTGACTCTATTTTGAATGATTAAAAATACTGGCTGCTGAAAGACATAGGAAAATACTTGTGATATTAGGTTTTCTAATGTTACAAAATAGTATGCAGATATAATCTACATGTTTTGAAAAACTACTTGTATGTAACTGGAAGAATGTGCTTCAAAATGTTCTCTTAGATTTGGAAGATTTAAGAAGTTTATCTGGTGTTGGGGACTAACACCTGTAATCTTAGCTACTCAGAAAACTGATCTGAGGGTCATAGCTTGAAGCCAGCCTAGGCAGAAAAGCCTATGAGACTTTTATATCTAACCAACAAAAAGCCAGAAGTGAAGTGTGGCTCAAGTAGTAGAGAATCAGCCTTGAATGAAGAAAAAAAAACTAAGGAGGAGGAGGAGGAAGAGGAGGAGGAATTGTTCAGTCCAGTACCAGCGGCTCATGCCTATAATTCTAGCTACTCAGGAGAAGCCAGTCCAGGCAGTAAAGCCCATGGGACTCCATCTCCAATTAATCAGCAAAGCCAGACTGGAGGTGTGGCTCAGGTGGTGGAATACCAGCCATAAGCAAGCAAGCCAAGCAAGTGTGAAGCTCTGAGTTCAAACATTAGTACTGACCAAGAAAGAGAGGAAATTCAGATTTCTTTTATGTGCTAGTATATTCATTCCAATTTTTCTGCAATATGTTTTACATTATTACTTGTAAAAATACTGGCTTTGGGGATTCAGCAGGAAGTATAAGAATCAAATCTTATTTTCTTCTGTATACAATACAAACTCAGGGCTATGCATGTAGTTATAAAATACCTTATAGATTGATTGTTACAGAAAGAGATTATCTTGGTCTCCAATCACCACACTGACTCTATTTATGGATCAATCATAACAGTAGTTTGCTAAACTAATTCCTACATGACAGTGTTTCTGAGATCTCTCTGCCTCCCAAATGTCAACATCAGCTCTGTGAAAGAAATCTCACTTTTGCAAGACTCTTCTATCTGCTGCCTTGAGGAGTCACATCTTGCCCATAAAAACAAACACATTTTCAAGGTGAAAGGCTGGAACAAAATCTACCAAGGAAATATCCCTCATAAACAGGAAGTTTATGGAAGTTGCAATCCTAATATCAGATAAAATAGACTTCAAATTAAAATTAGTGAGAAGAGATAAAGAAGGTCGCTACATACTAATTAAGAGATCTCTCCTTCAGGAGGATATTACAATTCTAAATATCTATTCGCCAAACAATGGAGCACTCAAATTTATCCAAGAAACACTACTTTCCCTCAAATCCCACATAGATCCAAAGACATTAATTGTTGGGGACTTTAACACACCACTTTCCCCACTAGATAGATCAACTCGGCAAAAACTCAACAGAGAAACCACAGAGAAACCACAGATCTAAACAACTGCATAGATCAACTAGATTTCACAGACATCTACCAAATATTTCACCCAGCAGCATCAGAATACACGTTTTTCTCAGCAGCACATGGAACATTTTCCAAAATAGACCACATTTTAGGCTACAAAGCAAACTTGTCCAAATTCAGAAACCTTGAATTTATATCTTGCATTCTCTCAGACCACAATGGAATAAAATTAGAACTCAACACCAAAAGCCACCAAAGAAAATCCTTTAACACATGGAGGCTGAACAATACACTGCTGAATCATGAGTGGTTCATGGAAGAGCTTAGAAAGGAAATTCAAATGTTCATGATATTCAACAAAAATGAACACACAAATTACCAGCTCCTCTGGGACATAGCAAAGGCAGTACTCAGGGGGAAGTTTATTTCTACATCAAAAAATTGGAGAGATCTGAAACCAACAATTTTAATGAGACATCTGAGCCTCCTTGAAAAAGAGCAGCAAGATAAACCCCAATCCAGTAGACTGAAAGAAATAATTAAAGTTAAATCAGAATTACATGAATTAGAATCCAAAAAAACTATAGAAAAAATCAACAAAACAAAGAGTTGCTTCTTCGAAAAAATGAACAAAATTGACAGACCCTTAGCAAATCTTATCAGAAAAAGAAGAGAACACACCCAAATAAATGAACTCAGAGATAAGGATGGAAACATCACCACAGAAACAACCAAGATTCAGAACATTATAAGGGAATACTTCTCAAAACTTTATGCTAATAAGTTTGAGAACTTGGCAGATATGGACCTTTTCCTAGCAAACACTGACGTACAAATACTAAACCAAGATGAGTTAAACCATCTTAACAGGCCCATATCAAGCATTAAATAGAAACAGCAATAAGAGACCTCCCATCTAAGAAAATCCCAGGACCAGATGGCTTTACAGCAGAATTCTACAAGGCCTTCAAAGCAGAGCTCATACCAATACTCCTCCAACTCTTCAATAAATTGAAAGAGAAAGTTCACTACCGAACTCATTCTATGAAGCCATCATAACCCTCATCCCAAAACCAGGCCGGGACTCATCAAAGAAAGAGAACTATAGACCCATTTCTTTTATGAACATTGAAGCAAAATTTCTCAACAAAATTTTGGCCAATTGACTTCAACAATTCATCCAAAAAATCATACACCACGATCAAGCAGGATTCATTTCAGGGATGCAAAGCTGGTTCAATATACGCAAATAAATTAAGATAATTCATCACATCAACAGGAGCAAGGATAAGAACCACATGGCTATCTCAAGAGATGCAGAAAAAGCATTTGACAAGATCCAACACCCCTTTATGATGAAGGTTCTGAAAAAATTAGGAATCCATGGAACATTCCTCAATACAATAAAGGCTGTATATGACAAACCTACAGCCAGCATTATACTAAAGCCAGTTCCTTTTAACTCAGGAGCGAGACAAGGATATCCACTCTCTCCACTTCTCTTCAATCTAGTATTAGAATGCCTAGCTACAGCAATAAGACAAGATGCAGACATAAAGGGGATCCAAGTGGGAAAGATTAAGTAAAAGTCTCCCTCTTTGCAGATGACATGATCTAGCATTTAAAGAATCCCATAAACTCCACTCCCGAATTACTCAAGCTGATTCAAAACTTTGGCAAAGTAGCAGGGTATAAAATTAACCCCCCAAAATCAATGGCTTTTCTGTATGCCAACAATGAGAAAAGTGTGGCTGAAATTAGGAAAGCAACTGCATTTGTAATAGCCCCACAAAAAATAAAATACCTAGGAATTAACCTAGCCAAAGAAGTGATGGACCTCTATGATGAAAACTTTAAAATCTTGAAAAAGGAAATCAAAACAGAACTTAGAAAGTGGCAAAAACTCCAATGCTCCTGGATTGGAAAGATTAACATTGGGAAAATGGCAACACTTCCCAAGATTATTTACAAATTCAATGCAATACCTATCAATATTCCAACCTCATTCTTCAAGGAAATAGAAGAGGCAATCCAAAAATTCATATGGAACAATAAAAGACCCCGAATAGCAAAAACAATCCTCAACAGAAAGAACAGTGCTGGAGGAATATCGATACCAAACTTCAAACTCCACTACAAAGCCGTAGTAATCAAAACAGCTTGGTACAGGCACAAGAACAGATCTCAGGACCAATGAATAGAATTGAAAACCCAGAGATGAACCTACAGACCTATAGCCATCTAATCTTCGATAAGGGAGCTAAAAAAATAGAATGGAAGAAAGACAGCCTCTTCAGTAAATGGTGCTGGCAAAATTGGTCAATCACTTGTAGAAAACTAAACTTAGATCCTTATATATCACCCTGCACTAGAATCAACTTCAAATGGATTAAAGACCTTGGAATCAAAGCAGACACCCTGAAAACATTACAGGATGGAATAAGAGAAACCCTGGGTCTCCTTGGCACAGACCGAAATCTTCTTAAAAGAGACCCAGAAACACAACAAATCAAAGAAAGATTGGACAAATGGGATTGCATGAAATTGCAGAGCTTCTGCATGGCAAAGGACATAGCTAGCAAGCTCAATAGAAATCCCACGTATTGGGAGAAGATCTTCACTAGCCATACAAAAGACAAGGGTCTCATATCTAAAATATACTTGGAACTCAAAAATTAAATCCCCCAACAACAAATCTTCAAAGAAACAACTGCCCAATAAATAAGTGGGCTAAAGACTTAAAGAGAAACTTCTCTGAAGAGGAAAGGAGGATGGCCAATAGACACATGAAGAAATGCTCAACCTCTCTAGCCATAAAAGAAATGCAAATCAAAACAACATTGAGATGTTAGAATGGCTATAATCAAGAACTCTAATAACAACAGATACTGGAGGGGATTTGGACAGAAGGGAACCTTACTGCATTGTTGGTGGGAGTGTAAACTTGTTCAACCACTTTGGAAAGTAGTATGGAGGTTCCTCAAAAGACTCCACATAGAGCTCCCCTATGACCCAGCAATCCCACTATTGGGCATTTACCCAAATGTTCACAAACACGACCACACTAAAGCTACCAGCATGAATATGTTTATTGCAGCCTTATTTGCCATAGCTAGGATATGGAACCAGCCCAGATGCCCCTCAGTAAATGAATGGATCAAGAAAATGTGGTATATATACACAATGGAATTCTATGCCTCCATCAGAAAGAATGACATTGCCCCATTTGTTAGGAAATGGAAAGACTTGGAAAAAAATGATATTAACTGAAGTAATCCAGACCCAAACAAACATAGGCCCCATGGTTTCCCTTATTTGCAATAACTAATATATGTCTGAGTCAGAAGAAAAGGTCAGATAAATTGATGTTAGGGAAATGAACCCTAAGACATGTAGTTTTTCTTTCATGCAATTGTTTCTAACATAATTTATAAAGATGATTTCTATGTTGATTTGTATGTCACTCCCCCACGGTATAACCCCTGCTTTCACTGTATTTGATGTTGTTATAATTTGTGGAGGGGAAGGGAAAAAACAAATTGTTTAAATAGGGATACAGGTGGACCCATTGCAACAATGAGATGTACAAGTCGTTATGTCGAAAATGAACTTTACAACTTTGGTGGTGGGGCGGGGGGTGGGGGGGGGAGGAGTGTTGGGTGAGGGGGCTGGGGAGGATGGGATGGGAAGGGGAAACAAAGGAGCTACAATGCTTGATAAGAAATGTACTCATTATCTTGCCCATGTAATTGTAACTCCTCTATACAGTATTTTCACAAAACAAAACAAAACAAAACAAAAGGAATCTCGCTTTTGTTAGTAGAGGTGTGGCTCAAGTGGTAGAGTGCCAGTCTTGAGCAAAAAAGCCAAGAAAGACCTTTAGGCCTGAGTTCAAGCCCAGTACTGGCACTTACATACAAAGAGACAGACAAAGATTGACAGAGAGACAGAGAGAGAAGTAAATTAAGAAATCATCTCACTTTAATATTAGAAAAAAAGCCAGAAGTGGTGTGGCTCAAGTGGTAGGTCCTTAGGCTTGAGAGAAAAATAAAGCTCAGGGATAGCACCCAGGCCCTGAGTTCAAGCCCTAAAAAAAAATGAAGAAAGAAAGAAAAAGAAAATATACTTTGGAAGGTTGTTTAGCACATACAAAATCATGTATAATTTTTAATATAGTAAAGCCTCTAGAGCTTTAATAATTTAATTTGATGCTATGGATTAAAAATAAGTCATAGAGCCAATGGCTCAAGCCTATAATCCTAGCTCCTCAGGCAGTTAAGATCTGAGGATTGAGGTTCAAAGCCAGCCTGGGAAGGAAAGTCCAAGAGATGCTTATCTCCAACTAATCACCAAAAAACCAAATTGGAGCTGTTCCTCTAGTGGTAAAGTGTTAGACTTGAGCAAAAAAGCTGAAGGAGAGCACCCAGGCCTTGAGTTCAAGCCCAGGGCTGGCACCAAAACCCTCCCCCCAAATCGGGTTAAATCTAAGCTACCATGAGATAGTTAAATGTTGCAAAGATAATCAGATCACTGATACATTACAACAGACTATGCATATTAAAATCTACTTACCTAAAATGCCAATTTCTAAACCTTCAAGTTTTTCTTTAATATACTCATAGATGTCATCTTTGGTAAAGTCTGCTTGTATAAGCTTCACCTTGCTTCCTGTAGTCCACTCTGCATTCAAGACAACATAATACATTTTTTGTTAATAAACAGAGGTACAAAACCCCTGCTGCTACTGCCACCATGAGGTTTCTCAGATGCTTCTCTACTATCTAGACAGAGTATCAAGAAAACCACTGACGCATAAATTAGAAATAAGAAAACACTGGCTTGGAATGTGGCTTAGTGTTAGAGTGCTTGCCTAGCATGCATGAAGCCCTGGGTTCGATTCTTCAGCATGACATACACAGAAAAAGCTGGAAGTGGCACTGTGGCTCATTTGGTAGAGTGCTAGTCTTGAGCATAGAAAGGCTCAAGGACAGTGCCCAGGCCCTGAGTTCAAGATCCAGGATGGCAAAAAAAAAGGAAAGAAATAAGAAAACACCCTAGATAAATGATGGGAGATGCTAAAAGATTCTTGAGAGTTTATTTTTAACAATTTTTTAAAAGTTACTGTAGGTACAAGTACATGCATTGAAATAGACTACTGTCCATACAGCACACATTTGCATCCCTGGGAAACTTGCTAGATATGCAAATTGTTGGGCCAGTTCTACAGATACACCAACCCTTGTTATGTATCTAGCACTAAGCATTTATATATATATATATATATATATATATATATATATACATTTATACATTTATATAATATAAATGCTTATATATAATTCTATTTTATATATAAATGCTTATATATATCTAATTCTATTTTAACCCTCTTCCAATCTTGTACAGTAGCTATCACTATTATTATTATTATTATTACATTGTACCTGGACACTGTCTCTTAGCATTTCTGCTCAAGGCTGATGCTCTACCACTCAAGCCACAACTCCATTTTCAGATTTTTGCTGGTTAATTGGAAATAAGAGTCTCAAAGACTTTTCTACCAGGGCTAGCTTTGAAACACAAAATTCAGATTTCAGCCTCCTGAGTAGCTAGGATTGCAGGCATGGGACATTGGTATCTAGCTGAGTAGATATCAATACTCCCATTTCCAGAGCAGAAAACTAAGACTTGAGAAGCTAGCATGTCCCAGGGCCACCATAGCCCCTTCCCACTCCAAGTTCAGTGTGCTTTCTACAAGGTTCAGCACTATCACGCCTGTGCAGAAGTTTTCAGGCAGACCAAAAAACTACAGGTCCTGTTCATCAATTTCTTAGTGAACTGCTTTAGTATTAGAGTTAGAACTAATATTTCTGGATACAACAACCTGAGATATAGTTTGTGAGTAAGAGTTTTTGTTTTTAATTAAAAAAAGATACTGCTTTCTTCTCAAAAGGATGATAAACAGGGCATTTTAGCATTATGAGCAAGACACTCAAGAATGCCATGGTTCTAATCAAAGTTACTTCTGATATCCAGATTTAGAACAAAAGGTGAATTCATCTTCTCAAGGACCCTGAGCCTCTGAGGGGTGACTCCAGGACCCCCATACCTCTCCGGCTCATCTCCGATCCCAAGTCTGCCCCCAAACAAAGAAGGCTGACTCTGGACAAAGCCAGCATTTTAACAAGCTTTCCTTCAGAATTGAAGACTCATTCTGTTTGAGTTGAAAAGTTTATTTCTTAAATTAGTAATCATTACATTTCAAATATTCCAAAAGAAGTAATATAGTCAGTCTTAACTAAGAGCACTTCCAAGCAAATTATCATAATAACATTATGATATATAGAGTTGTATAGTATGTACCCTTTGCAACCATTTACTGCAGACTTGGATCAGATCTTTCTTTGAAATCTGATGTCCATCAGTAAGCAACGTCTCTCAACCTCCTGCAAGGAAGAGATCATGGGCACAGGCATATGAAGATCCTGCGGCCAGAGGGAATGCTAACTCTAAATGTGAAAGCACTAGATCCAAAAAGAAAATGGGCCTTCTTCATGCCTGTTCCCTCCCCTTCCTGCTTTACCTGGTACAGAATCTAGGGTAGGCTAAAGCCTGTATCTTAATTCTTGCCCTTGTCACTGGACTCCCTTTGGAACAGATGGCAGCCTAGGTTCCAGACAACAGTTTGGAATTTGCAGGCAGACTTAGCTGATGAGCTCCACAAACACTTCTGCTGCTGGGGCGGGGAGGGGTGTCACTCACCAATCTCTCTGGCAATGCTCTGTAGTTTTCCCAGCGTCCGGCTGATAAGCACAAGGTTGAGTCCATGTTTTGCCAGCTAGAGTGGAAGTGGGAAAACCAAACACAGGAAGAGGCTGAGCAGATAAGGAAACCTTGAGAAAAAAAAAAAAAAAAAAAGGCCAAGCAAGATCCCAAGTTCAAGGGTCTCTGGCTCATGCACTTTGCAGCAGGGTGAGGCATTTTCTTTTCCTGGACTTAAATCGGTAGAATAGAGCAAAGTTTCTGATCTATGAGCAAAGCAACCACAGCAGGCCAATCTAAAAGTACTGTAAACATTTTTTTCAGGAGGCTGAGAGCTAAGGATCACGGTTCAAAGCCAGCCCAGGAAGAAAAGTCCATGAGACTCTTATTTCTAATTAACCAGCAAAGATCCAGCAATGTAACTTTGGCTCAAGTGGTAGAGCACCAGCCTTGAGTAAAAGAAGATAAAGGACAGTGTCCAGACCCTGAGTTCAAGTACTGGAATGCATGAGTGTGTGCGTGCGTGTGTGTGTGTGTGTGTGCGCGCGCATGCGTGCGCGCACACACACACACACACACACACACACACACAATTGTTTTTCTTTTTGCTTTCTTTTTGGTACTCAGGTTTGAAATCAGGACCTCGCACTTGCTGTCATTTAAGCATGTTCCTAATCCCTTTCCTTTTAGTTTGTGGTTCCAGGGTCTGGGCTCTAACCATACGATCCTGTCTCTGCCTCCTGAATAGCTGGGATTACAAGTGTGCACTACCACAACTAGCTCAATGCACAAGAGACTAGTTTTTCCTTGTGCAGACCCACAATCTGAAAGCACTTTTTAAATCTAAAGCCCAAGCAAGAGGGCTGTTGTGTCCTAGAACTCAAAATATTGGAGGCAAAGAAGAGAGGAAAAAACATAGATGTGTTGACTTTGTCACTATTCCCTACATGATAGAGATTTATTTAATAGCGTTACACCATATTAGGTATTATAACTAACCAAGACATGTTTTGAAATGTACCAGAGGATGTAAGCAGATCATGGGCAGAAAGCACTATATGCCATTTTGTACCAAGGACTTAGGCATCCAAAGAAATTTGGAGGGATGCCCCTCCCTCATCCCAAGAAACAGCTCTAGTAAGCATCAGTGTCTATTGTATGTGCTTTCAAGAAAAGAGTATGCTATGATTATCTATCTATCTATCTATCTATCTATCTATCTATCTATCTATCTATCTATCTATCTATCTATCTATCTATCTATCTATCTACCTACCTACCTATCTATCTACCTATCTATCTAATACTGGAGCTTGAACTCAAGGTCCAGGCATTTTCCTTTAGCAAGCCAAAAGGGCTAGGGGCAGAGCATCTATGTAGCAAGTTCAAGTCCCAGTTTTCAAATCCCAGTTCTACCACAAAGAAAAAAAAACAATACCAAGAGAAAAAAATGTCCCCATAGTCCTGTCTCCTCAACCAGCTACATTCACTTCCTCTGTGTGTTAGTGATCCTTCCCTAATTTCCTCTCTGCATCTGTGGGCATACATGGTACAGAGAGAAATGTTTCTTTTGTAGAGTTTGTTTCTTTTTGTCACATATAATTGTGACTTTAAGTATTGCCTTACAACATTCTTTTTAATTTAGTGATGTCTTATCTCTAAGAATTGTCTGTCTTCTCCAGCACAGGATAGAGAACCACTTGGCTTTTTAAAAAATTGCTGATAGTGTTCTGTAGCTCACCTATAGATTTTTAAAAAATATTTTCCCATCAGCCTTCTAAATAAGTCTTTGGATAGAAGAATACATGACTTCTACTTGTTTGTTTGTTATTTTGCAGTACACCAAATGAATATTTTGTTGTTGGTGGTGGTGGTGGTCATGAGTCTTGAACTCTGGGCCTGACCGCTGTCCCTCAGCTCTTCAGCTCAAGGTGAGCACTCTACCACTTGATCTACAACACCACTTCCGGTTTTCTGGCAGTTTATTGGAGATAAGAGTTTCACGGACTTTCCTGATCAGGCTGGCTTTGAACTGCAATCCTCAGATCTCAGCCTCCTGAGTAGCTAGGATTACAGGCGTGAGCCACCGGTGCCCAGCTCAAACGAATATTTTCTAGTTCAATTCCATTTGAACACTAACATAGGGTGTGTCAAGGGTCAAGGGGTGGTAGGAGCATCTTTTGTTTTCATATCTGGTCTTAGTCCCTAATCCCTGACACAAGAGTTTCTAACATCCTTGGAATCTTCTGACCCTAGGGAGCTTCAGGATGAGGCCAAGCAGGTGATGAGAGAGTAGAAACTTCCAGCCCCATCCTCTAAAGGGGAGAGGGAGTGTGTAGAACCACAGATGGACACAGAGTGAGAGTCAGTCACCAGACTCAGAGACTGAGGCATCCTTAGGATACAAGAGTTGTATGGCCCACTCTTTCTCCTCCTTCTCACTCTCTACTATCCTCCTGGAGGGTTAACACACCACTATTAGTCACCACACAAGAAGAAATGCTAGGCAAGGAAAGACAAAATACCACAGTATGTAGTTGGACACACACACACACACACACACACACACACACACACACACACACTGCCTCTACTGCAGGTCCTAGCTAGGAGAGGAAGAAGATATATCTTTCATCAGTGTTCAGCAATTTGATGATTACAACTGATTGGACAAAAGGCACCATGGAAAGGAAACTATATTTATACCTTAGAAGTGACCATAAGACCTTGTTTCCACCTAAGAGGTGTCCATGACTTGACAAAACCCAAGGTGAAAAAGGGGTAGCCAGAATGATTGATTATGCCTCAGGAGCAGGTGAGTTCTGCTACTTTATGATGTTGGTTATGACACTGGTTATATGTTACAACTTTGCTTCTGAAAGACATGACAATCTCCCACAGTGAGGATAATTTGCCAATCACCTGTATTTTGATTAGCTCCTGCTTTCAGTCTTCTAACATTATATGGAATTGGCTCAATACTATTAGTCTGAATTGTATCAACATGAATATTGATTATTTGTTATATAGGATTATTTTTATCTGGCATTAATATTGCTTCTACTTTTTTTTGTTGCTTGTGTTTTCTGAGTATATGAGTTTTTTCACTCTGTATCTCTGTCTCCCTGTTTCTGTCTTTCTGTCTCTGTCTTCTTGTCTGTGTGTGTGTGTGTGTGTGTATGTGTGTGTGTTTGTGTGTGTGTGTGTGTGTGTGTGTGTGTGTGTGACTTTTCACTGCTAGCGATCAAATCTAGTGCCTGGTACCCACCTTGCATTCAGAACAACCTCCTCCATACAGTGACCAAGGATCTAGGTTATTTTCCCAGAGCCAGAAATAGGATGAGACAAGTGAAGAATCCAGGTAGATAATTTAAGGAGAGACGCATTTTGGATTTCATGAACCCGCTGCCTGCCTCACCTTACTCCTACCCCTTTTTTGTCCATCTAGTAGCTCTACCCTTTGACATAAAGATCTCATAGTTTTATCTTATATTATGTAATTGAGCACTGAATTTGATTATAGTATAATGAAAGCAAATTCATGTCATTTTTTAATGAAATACATTACAAGAATGGTTAAATTTTCATCCAAAGAGAGAAAGACAAGTACTACATTGGACTTAGTAAATGTCCAAGTTATTTATTCACAAGGAGAAAAAGTACACAAAATAACAAATGTTTCTTAGGAATAGATACAGACTGAAAGATACTTCAAGCTTGAGAGGAAAGAGCCTGAAAAGGGGGTGAATATGAAATAAACCAACATGAGGCAGTGGATAGGTAGTAATGACTGATTCTGATTAACAATTAAGATGAAAGAGGAAGAGAAGAATGGAATGAAGCATGGAAGAAAATAGAAAAACTTAGAATATAAACTGTCTGGGTAGGCCTCCATGTACATTTAGATGGAGTGGGTATGAGCTATGTGTCCCTCCCTGACATCTGCTATGTACACATGTACGTGTACATGTTTGTCTGTACATATTGTACTAGGTTTGAATGTAGGGCCTTGTGCTTGCCAGGCAAGTGCTCTATTGCTGAGTTATGGTACCAACCTCTACTTTCTGTTTAAGCTAATTTAAATCAGTTCTAAGCTTTTGCAAGACTCTGGCTACTAAATCTAGTTTTCTTGTCTATAAAATTTTTTAGCTGCCTTTAGCCATTTTATTTTGTATTTATGTGTTAATTATGATACTTGGATTTGAACTCTGGGTCTCACACTTGCTTAGCTTACCTGCTTGCCTGGTGCTCTACCACTTAAGTTGTGCCTCCATGACTGGTTATTTTAGAGATAAACTCTTGAGGACTTTTCCACTTGGGCTAGCTTTGAACCTTCATCTTATGCATCTCAGCTTCCTGAGTAGCTACAGCCATGAGCTACCAGCACTTGGCATTTCAGTTTACATTTTAATTAAGGCTACCTCTAACCTTAGCAAACATCCTGAGAGAGAGTTTTATATTTTGATGTCAAATGGTTAAATACCATTTCAAGCTTAGAAACAAATAAAAGGATGATTATTCTTTTAAAAAATTAATATCATCCTAGAATATTTCCTAATGTCTGCTTGATGTTATCTGATGTCCTTGGGCAGTAAGCTTTGTTCTAATAGAGAAGTTCTCAGCTGATGAAGGTGCAGATAGCTCAGAACCCACAAGGTTAGAAACACAAGGAGCTGATTTCATAATGTCATGGAGAATCCATCCAGAGGTGCAAGGTCATCACTCTGCAGAAAGGTGGCTAGGATTGAAGGCGGTGCTAGTGTTTTGCTCTTGCCTCCCGATGACAAGTTCTTGCTTAGATGTTTTTCAATGGCCCCTTGTGTCTACTTGGGTTTTTTCACTACTAGGTTGAGTAAAACACATATTTGTGTTTTAAAACTATGTTTTTACAACATTGAAGGAAAAATACTAGACTATCCTTTGAGCTATCTGGCTAAATAGCCACAATTCCAATCTCATCCAAAATCCTATAAATTTTCAGAACCGAATATGTAACTATGCCCTATTCAAAAACATCGAAGAAACTAGTTGTAGAGACTCACACCTCTAACCCTAGCTATTAAGGAAGCTGAGATC